GAAAAGGAGGTGCATGGCGAATAAACAGCACAGGCTCTAGCACTTAGATCTTTCTAACGTGAATCGGAGAGGATGCCAGCGAAATTGCAGTTGCCCCTGACGGAGTTCAGGCTGCGAGTGGTCGATAGATAGGGGCCAGCCGGCGTAATGCGAAAAATAAATTTAGTTTTCCCTTTTGTTAAATCGGCAGGTCCAGGATGGTCAGGTCGCGATTCGGTCGAAGTTGGAGGATTTCGACGGGAGGCCATTGCCGTCCTGGATCCACGGGTTATCAATCCAGCCCAGTGTCCCTTAAAAGCGATGCATCGCACACTGATAAAGATCGTGGGAAGGTAACTCAGCCGGGAAGGGGTGAAGATACGACAACACCCATTCCTCCTCCCACCAGCTACTGGCGCCTTGTAGGGAAATTTGGTAGTACGTACGCACCCGCTCGCTGAGTATGGTGGATTGCACTACCGTTACGTGTAATAGCTTGTCGACGTTCGGTGTCCAAAGATTTTGTGATGGTGTCGTGAGACACGAAGAAGCTCCAGCCTCTTGAGTCTCGCAATGGAGAACCAAGCTTGAACTCGTCGGCCGTCCGTAATAAGCTCACGAACACCAGGCGCCAAAATACTTGTCCTGAGCTTAGGTGGGCCACTGTAAAGCGTACTTGGTACGCGGGGGATTGATGGCCACCTACAATGAGGCCAACCTAACCCCCTGTCTTTGTAGGAGTGAAGTGTAGACCCGGGTTAATCTTATGGCATCTGGCTTCCGTCGAGGCCGCATGAACCCACAAGAATTGTTTGTACAGGTCGTGGACTGCCCATCGTGCTCACTCAGGCGTATCAAAAACCGCCGCCGTGAACAGGACAGACGGGAGAATAATGGAGTTAAAAAACAAACTCATTTCGCCACACTGGTCGCCACCCTGGCAGCTGTCATAAGCTTACGTTTAAGCCTCCGGTTTCCCAGCGCCCAATTGCGATTGTGTACAATACTCAGTCCGACTTAACAATTCAAGTACTGCACCGTGTCCTCCAATTAAAGGACCGGAATGCTCCGCATGTCGGAAATGTGCATGACCGATTGAGACAGATAAGCTGACACTTGGAGGGGCTGGCGACAAGACCCGAACGGGTATCAAAGCGAGAGACAAGAGCCAGCGCTGGCTCCAGACGAATGGTCTTTTCAAGAAAAACCGTCGAGTCATCCACGAACGCCGAGAAAATGTGCGTAGCATAATGTCGGCCGAAGACAGGAAGCCCCGACAAACCTGGTGATTGCTGCACAGCAACGGTCAAAACTCCACCACGAAAAATAAAAAGCAAAGGGGCGAGCGGACAGCCTTGACGAATACCGGAGACGACGGAGATTGGACAAGAATGTTCCTTATTTATTAAGAAAGCAGTAGTGGTCCTTGCATGCAGCCGAGTGATAAGCTGAACGTACCGCTCCTAGAACCAGAGTTGGCGAAGAGCCTCATAAAGAATTTGCGATCTACCTTGTCATAAGCCTAGCGGAAGTCCAGAAGGAGGATCAATCAGCTGGCGTCGGCGATTATAGTTGTATCCGATGTTGCTGTAACCAGTTGAGCGAGCATCATCACGAGTTTAGACATCCGGCGCCCGTGCACGAAGCCTTGCTGCGAGTCTCCCGTGACTTTTGGTAGACGCATTGCAATCTCGTGGCCAGCACTATCGCAAAGATCTTGTAACTCGTTTAAGGTAGGGAAATCGGCCGGTTAATATATCGCATGCGCCGAGTCTCCCTTTTTCCGCAAGAGTGTGACTTAAGCTAGAAGAAAAGAAGGCGGGGTTCAGCTTCAACCAAATTTTGATTGATGAGATGGACCAGGGCTGGGAAAAGAATCGCCGCCGTGTCCTTGTAAACACAAATCGGCTGGACTGGACTGGCTAAAAATTTATTTAGCTCGTCCAGTCCAGCCGATTTGTGTCGACTGAGGCCAGAGATGGCGGCAAGGACTTCAGCTTCCGTATAATCAGCCAAGAGAGCCTAGTTGGCGGCAGGTGACAAAACCCGGTCTGCGAAGAAGCTGACAAAATATCGAATGGCTGATAGCTAGTCCGCCCTCTGCTCCTTGCGATGAACTTTTCCAAGGACTGTAGACCATTCAGGGGCAAATGAATTCGCGATAATTATATTCCGGGTGAAGTGAGGACCTTAGAGGCGCGAAATTGTTGTAACTGTTTGACCGCATTCCCATTCGGCAACCAGACTATAAAAGTATCGTTCTTGGTCAGCCGTCCGAGCGAGCTTCTTACCGAGTCGCACGATAAGTTCCTGCCGTAATTCCTCTATGTTAAAAGAGATAAATTGCGGCCAAGAGAGTAGCGGTCTCCGAGCTCTACCCTGCATTTCTCGACGGAAAATGGATCTGCGATGCTTGAACCGCTCCCGGATGCGTCGAACGCATTGTTGACCCGCTTTAACATCCACGTCCCAAGTTAAGGTAGAAACGCTCTGACCAACAGTCACGCCGTCCATTTCCGTGACGAGTTCGTCGATGACACTGCAAGGGTCCGATGAGGTAATCGTATACGTGACCCGCCTATGACGGCTCAACGAACGAGCTTTGCTGAGGTCACGTACGTGTAACACAAACTCTTGATGGTCCGTCTAATTTGATGGCACCCGCGCTGCAACCCACAAAACGCGATCTACTGATACCACAGGCACATAGAAACGATCAATGCGACTGTCCCGGTCCCCATTCCAGTATGTGAAATGATCAGTAGGATCGCCAGTGCCCTCTTTATCCGCGTGATCCCTAAGTTCCCTCGCATCCTCCAAGTACAGTATCTCAATTACAGCGTCAAGGGCAGGGTTTCCGACCAGTTCGAGTGGTGGCTGCCGTACCGATCGAGTAGAGGATACTGTACGCTGTTAAAGTCGCCCGCCAAGATAGTATTGGAGGCAAACAAATCCTAGTGGAGAAGAGAGGTAGAGAAAATTCCATTCACCCCGCGTTGTAGGCGCGTGCACACTAACAAGGACGGCTTCCCCAATAGATATTGCGATCACCCGAGGTAACTAGCGTTCCAGGTGCCAGGACGAAGCTGCACGAGCAGAATGCGGGGGTAAAAATAATGGCCACGCCTGCGCGGCTGGAAGGGCCTATGCTACAGAACGATAGAGGAGGAGCGTCTGGGTCAAGGTGTTGTCCCTACAGTTTCGCCCACCTGGAAATCAGCTTACATGCCTCTTCATCAGTGTGCACATGCGTCTCCTAGATGCACTAAGTCTGCGGTCGACGGGTCCAAAGGTCCCTTCTCCATGCCGAAAACCAATCATATCGAGCGCTGGCCTCGAAGCCCCGCACTATTGGATAAAATAGATCCTGTATCCACCCCTAGAACCTGGTGGAAAAGGTGCGGAAGCCCAGGACGTAGACCAGTTCTGAAGGTTGCGATGCCGGCTGCAGGCGTCAGCTTCCTCAATGAAAGGATCGTCGGGGCTGAAGAAGGGATGCTGCTGTGATCTCCCATTAGTGCCCAAGGAGTAACTGCTGCTCCGCGGGAGCCAAAGCCGTGGTAAAATAACGAACGAGCGCAGTCCAGTAGACCCGAGCATACCCGTCTGGGTATTACACGTCCTAATAGGTAGTAAAGGTCCGAAGTAAGCGAAATTGGTATCGTAGTTGCTCGGGAGGGCGTACCGGCTTCTCGCCCACCTCCATCAGCGCAAAAAAGTCGATTTCAAACACGATGGCACACATGAGGGAGTGACTCATGCGGACGCGCCTTTGCGGGTCACACAAACGTAAATTGTCGTCCGCCGCATAGTGAACACCTCGCAGCTTTTGTCAATTATCGGAATTGTCAATCCGAGGGGCCAGTAGAGACGGCGATAGGCGCTGCTGCGTACGAGCAATCCATTGGTCGAGCCAAAAAAAGCGTGGGTAATTGTGTCACTCGTTAACGGTACGCTTGGATCCCGGATAATTAGTTCTCCTGTCACCACAGAGCTGTCCACTTTACCAAAACGATCGGACAGGCTAGTTAGTAGTTCGTCAGGAAAGACATTGCGACGCAAGTGATAAAGAAACAGCTCAGGCTCCAAACGCGCCGTAGCTTTCCACCCGCCGGACTCGCCATAGACTAGATGATACGGTGTAGCTGCCGTTGCCGCCTGTTTGCCTCCAGAGTACTCCGAAGCTCTAGCCATTCCTTTCGATCAATTCAGTCGTCCGGCTCTGCTAGAGAACGGTTGCTAAACTCTGATTGAACTTGACTTTTCATCTGTTGCAAGCCGGCTAAAGCGACGGCTCCCGGATCTGCAGACACCGCTAGGAGTGGAAGGAAGCTACCGAGCCCTCATTTCCGTGCCGAAGTGGCCCGCCCGGGCTTAACACGGCTGCTCGTAGTAGAATTTAGAGTTAGTTGAGACAACGGCAGTGCCGAGGTTCGCGCAACCGCACCTCCAGCGTCGTAAACGACTTTTGACGTGCGGCCTCAATTGTTTAATTGGCGTTTGTCTTTGTAGGACAAAACAGAAGATCGTTTCTTGTAACGGGGTGAATCGTTACATAACAATTTATAAGAAATTGTTAATAGAATATAACTATAAGAGTTATATTCTCAGAATATTGTCATAAGGACAAATGTTCTGTAGCACTTACGAGTAGTTCCTAATTGGTTGATATAGGCCATTATATCAACCAAAGAAGACGCGCCACGACAGACGCACGAAATGAGTGGTGAGCAGATAGTTGATATACACATTTGTATTTAGACAAAGTTAGATGAGGATAAATAGTGATTTATTGCAGACATTAAATATTATAAATACAGTTCTACTTTTTACTCTAGCAAAGTACTCGCTTCTTCTTACCGTCTTCCTCTGCACGTACGAGTGTACGTGAAGTTCCGAGGCACCGCCTTATTCTGTGATCAGAATAAGTGGCTTTTACTGTCACCAGTACAAGCTTCAGGGTGCCCCGTTACACCTGGTAGCACTTCGTAGTCCGTCCAAGGACCACGTTCACATCTAACATGAATATGTTGGATGATGAAGATGACCAAAGCTTTCACGCTACGCGTGACGGCTACTCCCATTTGAGCGATGTCGAATGGGATGCGGTTGAACGAATGGGTTCGACCATGGGCATCCATGCTGTTAGCGTCATGCTAGAGGCTCTCAACAGAGATGCCCAACATGCTACGATCGCCAAGTTCATTCAAAATGAACTTGACGCTGAACGCGAGAAAGTAGCCTTGCTTCACCAACAAGGTTCTCAACAAGCAGAGTTGTTGAGAGAACAGGGTGCTCAACAGTTTGAACTGTTGAGACAGCAGTAGGCTGCTGCTGGTGGGTCGATGCACTCGCGTCGACCCGAAACCTTGAAGATTGACATCTCCAAGTATAGGGGAGTCGAAGAGGACTCCCTCTTGAGATGGTTCGTCGAATTGGATGACGCCAAAATGGCGCGTCGCATCGACAACGAGGATATGCAAGTTGCATTTGCCCAGTCAAATCTGGCAGGACGTGCCAAGACTTGGGCACTGGGGCTCAAGTTGCACGACCCATATGCGTTTGGGTCGTTGGAAGTCTTCAAGTCGCGGCTCAGACAAACGTTTGAACCGCCTAGAGCTGAGTTCAGGGCTCGAACCGAACTCTTGAAGCTCAAACAGGGTAAGCGTGATGTGCACGCTTACGCTCAACATATACGACATCTTACGAGTTGTATAAGTTCCAATCCGGTGGATGAACACACGTTGGTTTCGGTGTTCATGCAGGGTCTTGCGGATGGTCCCGTCAAGACTCACCTGTTCCGGCTTGAACTAGATTCACTAGAACAAGCCATTTCCATTGCGGAGCAGGAAGACTTCAGTCTGAGACAGGCTCGCGCCAGCTCGACATCATATCGTCAACCGAGACGATATGACAACGGATGTCCAGAGCCGATGGAACTCTGTTATGTAGAGAGCGAGAAGGCTCGCTCTACAGGCTACAAGAAGTTGCAGAGATGCAACAGATGTCAAAAGACAGGACACTACGCTTACGAGTGTAGTGCCTCTCGTCCAGTGTCTCGCAACAATGGGCGTAGTGACCGTCCACCCATGAGAAAGGGGCAGGGACGAGGGTCCGCTGTTGGTGCAAATACGCAACAACGGGATGGACCGTAAAAAAACGGACAGGATCAGTAGGTGCGGAGCACCCTACTGGTCCAGCAACGTCAAGAGAATTTGTAGGCCTCTTGATGAAGGTTGCTCCCAATACACAAACGTTGTGCGTTGCTGCTCTAGGTAATGAGATCTCACTCATTACCTTGAAACTCGAAGTGACGGATAAGTTTTTCCTTCGAGCTCTAGTCGATTGTGAGGCGTCCAACAAATTTGTGCGACGCCAATCGCTAGAAGATGGTCACTTTAACTTCACTGAATGTGACACACCTCCTACGAGATTGACGGTACGTCTTGCGACAGGCGCATCCGTAACCGTCATGAAGCGTATAGTGAAGATCCACTATACGCTAGAAGATACCCAATATGACGATGACTTTATCGTATTGGATTTGGATGACAAATTTGATGTCATCCTTGGAATACCGTGGCTCAGAAGGTACGAACCACGGGTAAACTGGCAACATCGGACAGTAACGATGCCTGCCGCTTGTTCATCAGATGGCCATCTGATGAACGTTTTGGAGCGTCCACAAGCGTGTGGATGTACTACGAGTGAGTGCGATGGCCTCACTTGTGGTACGGTCGTTAGTACGACTGCACAAAACCTTAGTATACCAAACGGTTACACTTCGTAGCAAAGTTCCGGCGGCTGTGAGGAAACGCAGGCTGCGCCGAAGGTCCACCACTCGAATAAGTCGGGTGGACTGGGACAAAGATGTATCCCTAGCGGGGAACATCTAGAAGAGAAACAATCGATCGCTCAGGTTAAGCGAAACGATAATCCTAGATCGACTGGAGAGTCTTTCGTAGAGGATCTCGCTGTGGTTGCGCAACCACAGCTAGAGGAAGTTAGGGGAATAAGTCCCAAGATTACAAATACGGCGGAAATAAGTTCCCCGAAACCCGCGGGAATAAGTCCCCGGGAAGCCGAAGGAAAAAGTCCTTCGAAGCCTGAGGGAATAAGTCCCCAGGAAATGACAGAGACATTGAATGTCATAGTCAATAACGGGTCAAGTGTAGGCGCTTATACACTTGATCTGATTGCGCCTCCGAAGTTGACTTCGGAGATCACTCAGTTGCCAACGCTCGAACATAAAAGGTTCTTGCGTAATCTGCGTAGTGGCAAAGTCAAGCAGATCTGCATACTCGTCGCTGACGACGAGTGTGTAGCCTACATAAGGTCAGCAAAGATGTTTACTGAGAACGAGAGAGTTCTCAGTAGTTCATCTATGGACGAGAGTGTCCTAGATGAAAAGACAAGCATTGAGCGATATGACTCCCAATCATGGGAATCGCTCAAGACAAATCCTCTCTATGAAGATTTGGTTGAATTCAAGGATGTATTCCCTGAAACTGTTCCGTGCGAATTACCGAAGGATAAAGGTATTCGACACGAGGTCGAGCTTAAACCAGGCTCGAAGTACTGTGTCATGAAGCAGTGGCCACTGCCTCGTGAACAAGTACTTGCGATCGACAAGTTCTTTGCCGATCGTTTAGCTGCGAGCCATGTGAGATAATCAACTTCCCCACATAGCTCTCCGACCTTCTGTGTGAGAAAAGCAACAGGAGGGTGGCGGATAGTGCACGCGTTCAACAAATTGAACGCTGCAACGGTACCGGCTCAGACGCCGATACCGAGGAAGGACGTAATCATTGATGGTATGTCAAAGAGTACCATCTTTTCGTCCATGGATTTGATGGATGGCTTCTATCAAATCCTTATGCGAGAACGGAATATACCCTATACCGCAGTTAGCACGCCTAGCGGCATGCTCTGGGAATGGCTAGTAATGCCACAAGGGCTTAGTAATGCCCCTGCCACTTTCAACAGATGTGTATCACATCTGTTGAGACCAGTACGAGAATTCGCGCCGAGTTATTTCGATGACGTATTCATCCATAGTCGAGCTATGGATGGAAAGTCGGACGTTGAGGTTCACAGGTACCACGTCCGACAGGTTCTTACAATCATGCGAAAGCATCAATTGTACGCAAACCTCAAGAAGTGTATATTTGCAGCAAGCGAAATACCACTTCTTGGGTGCATCGTTGGTAAGAACGGTGTACGTCCTGATCCCGAAAAGATCAAGGCGATCACCGACTGGCCTGTGCCGGTTGATGTCAAAGGTCTTCGAAAATTCCTTGGGCTAGCGGCGTATTTGCATAAGTATTCACGCAATTACGCCGAGATGACTGTGCACCTCTCTCGTTTGTTGAAAACGAACGAGAGGTGGTTATGGAACGCTGAATGTCAGCGCTTCTTTGATGGTATCAAGCAGAGCTTGATACAATCCCCAGTCCTATCAATAGCCGATCAGGACAGGCCATTTCATGTGGTCTGTGATGCCAGCGATTTCGCAATCGGCTGTGCATTAATGCAGTACGATCTTGAAGGCGTTGAACGCGTCGTCTGCTATCAGTCGCGTCAGCTGCAACCAGCTGAGCGGAACTATCCAGTGCATGACAAGGAACTCCTTGCCATGAAGTATGCGCTCGCGAAGTTCAGAGTCTATCTATTAGGAGATAGACCCTTCATTGTTTACACTGACCATGCGTCATTACGCACGGCAGTGAACAGCCCGCACATTTCACAACGAATTGCGCGGTGGTTATCATTCCTTGCAGAATACAACTTTACGGTCGAGTACAAACCAGGACGACTTAATTTCGTCGCTGATGCACTCTCACGTCGTCCCGACTTTGAACCAGTCGTGAAACCCAACAGTGAGACAGTCACTGTTGCGGTTATGACGTCCTCCGTCCCATCTACAACGTTGAATGATGATGTGAGGCGGGCATACGCCCAAGATGGTGAGATTGTGAAGTTGTTGACACATCTCTCCCAACCATCTCGAGAATCGTTGAAACGATTGTCGCCTGCGTATCGATCTGCATCAGATCGATACACTACTCGCAACGGTTTACTGTATTACACAGCCGTTTCTGGTGACACACCACGTGTTGTCATTCCAGATGATACTGATCTGCGTTTGCGGATCATGTTCGAGTATCACGATGCTCCTATAGGAGGACATCGTGGCCGGGAGAAAACATATCTCACGGCGAGTCGAGACTTTTACAGGCCCCGCCAGTATCATTTGTGCGCAAGTATGTTCGCGCATGCGAAGTCTGCCAACGAGTGAAGTCGAGTCCTTCACTGCGTGCACCTTTACAGCCTCTACCGGTTCCGGCTGAGTGCTAAGAATCCATTTCAATGGATTTTGTCTTCGGTTTACCCAAAGACGCACGCGGGAATACGGGTATTCTCGTATTTGTTGACAGATTCAGCAAAATGGCACACCTTGTGGCTGTCTCCGAGTCAATCACAGCCTGTGGCTGTGCTTGTGTCTCTATCTACACCACCTTCCGACTTCATGGGTTTCCCCGTGAACTCGTATCAGACAGAGATCCACGATTCACTGCTGATTTCCGGCGTTCCGTGTTCAAATCACTCGGAACGCGCTTGAAGATGTCGACTTCTGATCATCCAGAGACAGATGGTCAGACGGAACGTGCCAATCGTGTCCTTGAAGAGATCCTTCGAGGATACGTACACTCCTTTAAGAGTTGGAGTGAGTTTTTGCCAATGGTAGAGTTTGCCATTAACAACTCGGCCCATGCGTCCACGACACATACACCGTTTTACGTGAATGGCTTACGCCATTCGCGTGTACCCACCTTACTAGAGTTTAACTCTGGTTTAAGGGGGGGAGGAACTCGCGCGAGCAAAAACCAAATTGGTTCACGCTCATCATGCTCTGACGAAGAGGTCATTGCGTTTGATGCCGATATCGATAACATCGATATCGAAGAAGATGATGCCAGTGAGAGTGCGGAAGCCCTCACTGAAGAATAGGTTGATGTTGCTGCAGTGCGCTCACAGCGCACTGAAGCTAACGAGTCATCAGATGAGTTCATACTGGCTCGTGAAACGGTAGTCCGTTTTGTGCAAGATTCCATCGCCGAAGCGGTGGACAAGCAAAAGCAAAACGCTGACAAGAATGGAAGGGCAAACACTCTTTTACTTAATCGAGGTGACTTAGTCCTACTGTCTACGGTTAATCTACCAAAGCATGTAGTGACTAACTTGGGTAGCAGTAAACTACTACCCAAGTACATCGGCCCATTTCGTGTATTGAACCGCCTAGGCAATGCATACACGATCGAGTTACCACGTAAGATGCGAACGCATCCCACGTTTTACGTTGGTCGGCTTAAGCCGTACCATCAGTACGCTGCTTCATCCGATGAAGAACGCCCTTGCGCTCAAGCATCTCGCAGAGAGCCTTGTGCTCCCGATAGTGGGCATCAACAAGGGTCTGAAGAGCAGCTATCTCATCCCGAGACCGATCAACAATCCCACGAGTTACCCTTAGCTCGTCACGAAGAGATGTCAGATATCTCTCGTTCTCAAGCTGAGCAAAGGCAAACTCAGCTCGATGCTTCAAGGCAGTGTCCGCCATTTGGAGACGCCTGTCCCGCTCATGTTCTAGATCGTTGCGTAACCCTTGCGTTATGCGATCAAAGAAGCTCTCGGGAACACACGGATCCCCATGATCGTGTGGAGAGCGTCTTTCCACCTCCTCCACCTCCATTAGAGGACTCTCGCGGTGGCCAGCGCTATCTAGTTGAGCAGCTGTTGAACCACCGCGACGTGAACGGACGTCGGACGAGTTACCTCGTCCGGTGGCGCGGCTATCCCCCGTCCTGGGATTCTTGGGAGCCCCGCTCCCAACTAATGATCGACGTACTGGGTCTGGATGAGCAGTACGACGCGGCACATCCTGTGCCGCAGAAGGACCGCCGGAGAAATTCTCTCCGGCACGGTCGTAAAGGGATTTCAGGTTGTCAATCCCTTCGTACATCTCAATAGAGATACGTACGCGCCACCACGGGCTATTAGGGATGTAAGCCTCCTTAGGTGCTCGTGCAGAGTTGTTCACACAACACGGGCACGAGTCTCCCCATGAGAGGCAGGGTAATCCCTTCTCCCTTGACAGACGATGCAGCTTGTAGTGTGCACCTGTCGGGGTTCGCTTTTCAAACTTATCACGAGCTTTGATAAACTTGTCGTTCCAAGCGTCAAGACCTACATCCTCCAGGTTATGGATGTAGGCGTTCCACGCTTGAAGTAGTGAGGGACCATCACGTTTGTGATTCCCACTGTACCATCGATGTTTGAAGAAAGCATCGATGAAGTATTCGTATTCAGCGCGATAGTTTTTCGCGCTGGGGTCAAGGTGATGGATCCTTGACGAATCGAACAATCGTGTTCGATAACGATCACTCGTCGTCGCCGACAAGTGATCCATGACAGATTTAGGAGGCACCCATGCCTTCTTCTCGGGAGCGAGACGCAAGACATTGCGGTCCCGCTCTTCCTGCGATGTGCCGACAGAAGTACTGGCACCTCGTTGTGAAGTGGTGTCAATAGGAGAACCGACACCACTGTTAGCGCCCGAGTCTCGCTACCTCGAGCGCCTTCGCTTTGGCGATGGTTCATCTGATTCATCAGATAACCAAAGATGCTGCGACGCAAAGCATCGTCCATGCCACGCTTGGCAGGCGGCTTGGATTCGATCGCCGTCGATACGGATCCGTCTTCCGTATAAGGAGAGTATGAGACACCGAGCTCATACTCTGTGAAGACATGAGTGTCTTCATGACGAGCGCCTGCATCACCAAGTGACACAGGCTGGGTCGCTTCAGCAACCGATGAGACATCAGTTGCTGTGGTTTCTGCTTCGGCGTCCGCACAGAGACGTGCGGACGCGCTCTCGGCGGCCTTGCTCGCGCATCGCATGGGCTTGTTAACCATGCGATGAGATGTTGGAAAGTGGACGCGGACCAACAAGTGCAAACCCTGTCCCAAATGATTTGGGACGAGTATCCATTTAGTCAATCAGTCACTAAAGTGACTTATGGTTAAGGGGAGGGGGTGATGTAACGGGGTGAATCGTTACATAACAATTTATAAGAAATTGTTAATAGAATATAACTATAAGAGTTATATTCTCAGAATATTGTCATAAGGACAAATATTCTGTAGCACTTACAAGTAGTTCCTAATTGGTTGATATAGGCCATTATATCAACCAACGAAGACGCGCCACGACAGACGCACGCAATGAGTGGTGAGCAGATAGTTGATATACACATTTGTATTTAGACAAAGTTAGATGAGGATAAATAGTGATTTATTGCAGACATTAAATATTATAAATACAGTTCTACTTTTTACTCTAGCAAAGTACTCGCTTCTTCTTACCGTCTTCCTCTGCACGTACGAGTGTACGTGAAGTTCCGAGGCACCGCCTTATTCTGTGATCAGAATAAGTGGCTTGTACTGTCACCAGTACAAGCTTAAGGGTGCCCCGTTACATTTCTCCCCCAAAAGGACCAACGATGTGGACATATCGTCTTTGAAAGCTTGGCCCGTACACTGCGGCGACGCCGCACTCGGTCCGTCCAGGGTATCGGTAAGGTGTAACGGATCGGCCACATCATCTGTATCGATCAAAGCCGAGTAGTGGCGGCCCTTAAACCGCAACACTAACGGTAGATCCCGAGGCATCGCTACTTTTGTCTCCTGCAGCTCGTCGAGACACGCCCTGGAATAAAGGGGGTAATCTTCGCAGACGCCACCGCCCGACCCCGTATATCTAGCGAACCGGGCTTGCACTTGTGGCAACGCCACTGAGGGATGCCGGCCTCGCATTGAACGACAAAGATGGCTCTCTGAAAAACGTGGCTGACATGCCGAGTTTTTCACTGCTCCCTAGCAGTCCGCAGGCACTTGCGAGGTTCGAGCCGATAGGGTGGCTGCAAAGTCGTTCATGTACCAGCGGAATTATGAAGCCGACTCTGTGCGCGTCATTGATGCCGACCTACGGCCCACGTTCTTAAGTGCCTGTACACGTAGATCGTGAGTAAGATTTTCCGCCAAGTTCAAGATCCCTGTACCACGATGACCGTTTTTTTATACACGCCGTGAGAAGCTCCTAGTCCTTGGTAGGAGCTGCCAATGCAGACTCAGGGACTGCTTGAGCTATAGATATTGCTTAACAATTGCCGTTCGCTGGGGTCCTAATTTCACGAAGTTCCAGAATGCGCACAAGTTCGCCCAAGTGAATATGTTGCACTGTCGATTTCGGATCCATGGGTATCAAGTGACATTGACTTTCCGGCATCAGCTTTAGAATCCGATCTCAAGTCAGCTGGTCCCGACGCTGCTGGGTCAGGAGAGCCGGTCCCGATGTGACTACCGCCGGTCTCCGGATCTTGGCTGCTTGTTTCCGAGCCAGATCATCCGGCATCAGCCGGGGGTGGGATCGCTGTGCCGAAGAAGCAGGAGCCGGGGAGCTACCAGTCTCCGGCTGAGGAGGTGCAGAGGCGATACTGCTTTCACGTGCGAGAAATCGACCCACCGCTGCAGTTTCCATCTCCTGGAGAACGTGATTACCCCCGCTACCGACGTTCAGCTGAGTCGAGTGAGTCTGAACTGGGGGCCCGGGCCGACGACCCCCTCGAATGAGGCGTGTTCGCCACGGCTGTTCAGGCCGGGATTTTGGGGCCGGAGGCGGCGGGCCCTCGTGCGTGACCTGAGCAGTACACAACGAGTGGAGAGGTATACGTGTTAGCTGGGGCTCGACGGCCGGCACGGGACTGGGAGCAGTTACCGGTACCACCGGCGTCACCGCAGCTTTTGCCGATTCGGCGGCCAAGTGCTGCACATGAAGCCTCCGCTGCACCTTCTGCCGCATTTCTTCTGGGGCAGCTCAAAGGTTTAGCCAGGTCTTCGACCGCTAGAGCTCTGCTTTGTGGACCTCTATCCCGCCTGGCCCACGTAATTGTGCATCGGTGAACTGAAACCGCGACGTTGGGTGGCCGAGCGTACAACATTGCAGACATTGGAGGCGACGACCCAAGTCCGGATGCCGGACGATACCGGGCTTTCTAAACCAAAGCAGTCTGGCAATTCCTTGTAAAAAGGATGGGCAAACCGTTAGATGAAAAGTAACTTTCGAGGCGGTGGATTGTACGTGAGTTGGGGGCATAGGTATACCTATTCTTCAACTTACAATCTGTCGGTATCTTAGAGCGCAGGTAGGCAGCAATACGCCCAAAATCGTCAAACTAGGTTACATTGTACAGCATAATAGTATATGCTGCCCGGGGGTGGCTCGAACGCCTGTCTGGACCATTCTGATGCAACCGGACCGAGACCCTCACCGGCTGATGAACATTCCGGAGCGTATATGCCCGTCATTGGCCAAGTCGCAACAGAATGTTGTGCCTTGGCAACGCCCGCGTGAAAAAATAAAAGTGAATCGACCGAGTAGAACGGTTGTAGCTTTTTACTTGGCCAACCCAAAAAAACGGTGGAGATCCGGCAAACAGACCCTTAGGGGTTCCGCCGACTCCAATATCTTTGCCGTAATAAAATGAGTCGTCCGACGTCCAATAAAGAAATCACGACCATGGCAGAGATTCAACACCGATTGTCCCTTGACCTGCGCCTGAACTTTAACGGAATAGCCCGTTACATGATATTGACACTGAACAGTGTCAATAGGAGTATTGTCTACCATGACAATTTCCTACCAATATTATCCGAGATGGATAATATTGAAGGAATACCATCCCTTTTAGGATAATATTCATGCGCTGCTCCAAGATTGGTTGATAAAAGACATATCAACCATAGATTGCCACCAATCGCTGCTAGACGCGCGCAATGATTGGTGAGCAGGTTGTCGTCACACGAAAATATAGACTAATATAGTTAGATGAATATTGGAGTTATGTTGATAGCTTAAATATAACAAAAACAGTTCTCTTTTTAGCCCTTTACTTAACATAGTTGTTAAGTAGACTAGCTTCCTCTGAACGTACTAGTGTACGTGAAGTTTCGTGGCACCCGGACAAAGGGTACCCCGTTAAATGAAAGGTCAGACACAGACAAAGCCTCTCGTCGCTGTCTAAGGCGGAAAAAAGAAAATCTGGCATCCGACGACAGGCAATATTCCCTTCCGCTATCCCATTGATGATGCGACATTCATCGTCCGTACCCTCGTGCAGATTGTGGGTACCCGCCTGGTTCAGGCGCGCAGAGCAACGGGCTCGAAGCGTGACGACCTCTTCCACCGAAAAAATTTCCGTATCAAACATAAAGTCTTCAGACGCGGGTGCTTCTTGACTGTCGTGATGTCCGATACTTCCGAACTGCCGGTTTGCACGACCTGAGACCAAAGCCGGGGGTTCGAAGCGTCGGCCCATTTCTGACGGCCAACCAGCGTGCGTACGATCTCCTTAAACACCCACATCGTGACGACAATCTCATTACTGATCTGGTGGCCTAAATGGGTCTAGTCCACGTAGATACCGGATGTCACCACAAAGAACTGCTCAAACAAATTCAATAAACACACCGGCTCAGTGCTCGTGATCTTGTGATACCATTTGTGTGCGGCCGGCAGCGCGTCCAAGCTGACGGGAATGCGGGCAAATTCCATAGCAAATAACTACTGGATGGTCTGGCGCCAAACATCCAGGTACGTTGGGCCCGTAGAAGCCTTCATCTCCGAGGTGAGGGCCTCAAACATCTGTCGCGAATGATCCGGGGGCGAATAAGGTTGCGAATGCGACGAGGGAGACTCATAATCGCCCTCCAAAGTGCTCAATTTGGGTCTGTCCACCCGCGGCAGTACTGCGCGTGCCTCGCCGCGCCGTAGCGGCGTACCAGTTATCGCGATGGACAAGTCCCCAGCCAAGCCAGAATCCAAATCCACTGCGGAAGTCAGCTGCTGAGAGTCCGAGAGAGGAGGAGGAGCAGCGCGCTGGACCTCCTGCCCCGTGTGCAGAGGATGTGGTCTACTAGCGGAGGAACAAGGAGTCTTGGCTTGCGCTCCCCCCCTCCTTCAGCAAGGCATGGGCCTGGCTAAGGTGTCCCGTATCACCCGGCTGGCCCCTTTAAAGTGCGCCTCCCCTCCAGGTCAGGAGAAAGGCATGATGACGGATCCAGATAAAACGGGGCACCCTTTGTCCGGGTGCCACGAAACTTCACGTACACTAGTACGTGCAGAGGAAGCTAGTCTACTCAACGACTATGTTGAGTAAAGGGCTAAAACGAGAACTGTTTTTGCTATGGTTAAGCTATCAATACAACTTCAATATTCATCTTGCTATATTAAGCTACGTTGTCCTATGACGACAACCTGCTCACCAATCATTGCGCGCGTCTTGCAGCGATTGGTGGTAATCTATGGCTGATATGTCTTTTATCAGCCAATCTTTGAGTAGCGCATGAATATTATTCTAAAAAGAATAGTATTCCATCAAAATTATCCATCTCGGATAGTATTGGTAGGAAATTGTCATGGTAGACAATACTCCTATTAACACCGTTCGGTGTCAATATCATGCCTAGGGCTGCCCCGTTTCATCACCCCCATTTAACCATCAATCACCCGTTGATTGAATTGGAATTGATTGGGACAGGGTGATCGCCGTTGGATCACTTTGGGAAAGGGAGCACTTGTTGGTCAAATTCCATTCATTTGCCAATCCAACGCATGGTTTTTAAAACCCAAGCGAGTTGCTACTGCAGCAGCAAGGAAGGCGGCTACACGCATGCGTGCATCCGAAGAGAGTACTTCTCACACCTCAGCATTAGGTAGTTCATCACCTATAGTTTTGAACATTCCCGTGGTGACTCACCACGTGCGACAGGTACATCCGCTGCGTATGCAGCGGGTACCACGAGTCGTAATCAAGATGAGTCTGGGATAGAACTCATCTATTCTGGCGAGTCGGATGATGTATCCGACCCGGAGGCGATACCTCCCGCCTCCAGATCACCCGGGGCGGACACTGCAAGAGCCAGGTTTACTGCCTCTGGTCACCGTGGCGGCATCACGCTCGAGTTTTTTCGGATCGAGCTATTGTTCCGACGAATCCTCGCCTCACGCAAGTCTATTCAACGATACAACGCGTGGTGAGTGTGGTGGGGCATCTATGCGTCACCACGAGTGAGGTATGGAGCTGCCACTGGTGTCAGCGCTAATGCTGACACCAATCAAGAGGCCAGGGACCGAAATGTCCTGCGCCACGCTTCTCAAGTGGAGTCTTCTTGGATGCCGACATCGAAAGAGTTGGACAGGTTGGCCGGAATGACTATTGATCGGGATCAAATCCCGTTGTTCGATTGTAGGAAGATTTGCCCACCTAATTATAGCACGAAAACTATCCGTCCTAAGCAAAAATTCATCACGGATGCATTTTTCAAATATCGGTGCTACAATGGCAGCCGTTGTCGAGATGGTAAGACCTTGGTGCAAGGATGAAATGCCCTTATCCATAACATCGAACGCATTGTCCGTGAGGTCTGGCTCGGCAACTTGATGCATCCCGCAACAGGATTGAAAAGCGTAACCCAGTCGGGGCGTGATAAAAGTTGCACCGACTGTCACGAGAAGCAGGATTACCCTGTCTCACGTAAGGTGATTCATGTCCAAGTTGTCTGTACAACTCGAAATGTGCCCCTAGGGAGGCCTACATTCCTAATGACTCCTACTGGAGGGCGCGCATCTCTTTCGAGATGGCCAAAGGGATTGACACTTTGAAATCCCTGTACTCGCGTTCGGGAAGGTCGTTTTCCGACGGCCATTCTTCGAACGCAGCGGGTAGGTCTCGTCAAATTGCTCGACGAGACCCAGGACATCAACAATGAGCTGGGCACGAGGCTCCCAGCTGTCCCAGATCGGTGGATAGCCACGCCAACAGACGAGGTAATTCGTTCGGACGCCTTTTACGTCGCGGTGGTTTAAAATACGCTCCACCAGAAAGCGTTGACCACCGCTTGAGTCAGTCCACCAAAGGATTTGGTGGTGGTGGGAACACCTGATCCGTCTCAAGGGTCGAATCAGCTTGGTGTTCAGGAACATAACCGTGTAACGAAACAATTATACGATGACCTGGCTTATAAACGGACTCGGCGTTGTGAGCTCCATAACCTAGTAATGGATAATTTAAATTTCTTGGCGCACGATTGTTCGAACGATCGTGCCTCATTTGCGCTTGCGCAACTTGAGAACGAAAGTTTGTTTCGTTGTCTTCGTGACGAGCTGACTACAGATCGTCATGATATCGCTTAACTGCGTGAGCAGGTCGCTTCGATAGTAGACCAGACTGGCTCAGTGAAACTGGACTGCTCGAAGGTGGTCTCTGCCCTCGACCGAGGAGGTGTTCTTCGCCTCTCGAAACGGGCTCGTACTAATAGTACGGGCGGAGACGTCCGACGTAAGCGTAGGATGCATACGCATCCTACAAGGCAGTTCAATGTGTATGCGTTGCCCGTTCGGCGCAACACACGAAATGGACCGATGTCCTTAGGCAGTAATTTGCTGCTGCCCAAGTTTGTCACAGCGTGTTTCGGTAGGTTTACTGTAAACAGTAGAACTAGGTCTCCTTCATCGAATGAAGCAACATTTGCTCTTTCATGTTTGTCTGCATTTCTCTTCTGTCTGTCTAGTGCATCTGCAATAGAGTCGTGGACGAAGCGGACAACCGCTTCGCAAGTCAGCAGAAATTCCTTTGCTGATTCATTCTTGTCAACACCAGTGAGTGTCGTGTGCACTGCTGAAAGAAAGTTGTCTTCACCAATGAGGGTTTCATCGTCCTCCTTTTGGCAGTCATTAGCGATGTTGAATATACCAGCATCGTCTTCATCATCATCATCGATATCGATCGCATCAACATCGGCATCCATCACGTCGACACCACTGTCGACGGGTGATGAGTAAGAACCAGACCGTTTTTTGTCCGAGCGAGTCCACCTCTCCCCTTAAACTAGAGTCACACTTTAGGATTGCGGGTAAACGTGGATGGCGTAGGCCATTCGCGAAGAACAGCGTATGCGTTGTCGGCGCATGCACCGAGTTGTTGATGGCGAGCTCCGCCATCGGCAAGAACTTACTCCAAGTCAAAAACGAGTGGACGTAATCTCGAAGTATCTCTTCGAGGATGCGGTTGACTTGTTCTGTCTGACCATCTGTTCCTACATGGTCAGAAGTCGACATCGTCAACCGTGTTCTAAGTGAACGGGACACGAATTGTCTGAAGTCCGCTAAAAGTGGGGGTCTCTATCAGACACGAGCTCACGGGGTAACCCGTAAAGTCGGAAAAAGTATCAATATAGACACGAGCACAGCCCTGGGCTGTGAATGACCCGGTACAGCAACGAGATGTACCATCTTGCTGAACCGATAAACAAACACAAGAATACCAGTATTCTTGTGGACGTCTTTGGGAAACCCAAAGACGAAGTTTAACGATACGGACTGCCAACTCTCTGTTGGAAACGGAAGAGGCTGCAAGGGTGCGCGTGATGAAGGACTAAGCTTCATTCGTTGACAAACTTTGCAAGCGCGAACCAATTTGCGCACAAAATCGTACGGGGCCAGTAGAAGTCACGACTTACCATGAGGTAAGCCTTTTCTCTACCGCGATGCCCATTTGTTGTAGCATCGTGACACTCGTATATGGTGCGCAATCGCAAATCATTATGAGCCGGAACGACGACACGAGGGTGTGTCGCCGTTAACTGCTGCATCGTACAGCAGTCCATCACGAACCGAATACCGTTCGGTTGAAGAGCGGTATTGAGACGACAAGCTTTTTAAAGCTTGACTGCATGGATTGGCTACATAATCCATCAACCACATGAGAGACTCATCGTCTGCGTATGCTTTTCGCACGTCGTCGAGCAGATTCGATGACGGAACACTCACTGTTAGTATCGCTACAGTGGAATCATCCCTACCGTTGTGTTGAGCAGTCGGCTCGTTATCGGACCGACGAGAAAGAGCATCATCGACAACATTAAGTCGTCCGGGTTCATACTCGACGGAGAAGTTGTACTCCGCGAAGAAAGACAGCCATCTTGCTATTCGTTTCGAGAGGTGTGGACTGTTTACGGCCGTGCGTAACGACGCATGGTAGGTATAAACGATGAAGGACCTATCTCCTAAGAGATATACCCGAAACTTAGCCAGTGCATATTTCATGGCAAGAATTTCCTTGTCATGCACAGGGTAATTCTGCTCAGCTTCTTGCAGCTGATGCGATTGATAACAGACGACGCGCTAAACGCCGTCTGAGTCGTACTGCATCAACGCGCAGCCGATTGCAAAATCGTTGGCGTCGCAGACCACATGGAATGGTCTTGCCTGGTCTGCAATCGCCAACACAGGCGATTGAATCAATATTTTCCTGATACCTTCGAAGGAGTTATGACACTCAGCACTCCATGACCAGCTCTCGTTTTTCTTTAACATACGAGAGAAATGTACGGCCATCTCGGCGCGGTTGCGCGAGTACTTGTGCAAGTAAGCCGCTAAGCCAAGGAGCTTTCGGAGTATCTTGACGTCGACTGGCACAGGCCATTCGCTAGACGCCTTGATCTTTTCCGGATCAGGGCGTACACCGTTTTTACCCACGATGCAGCCAAGAAGTG